GTTGGGAGCATAGTACGATTGCTCGGTGAGTACTCCCTTGGGAGTATACGAATACCCCCCATTGCTGCCTATGTTTCTGTGTATAAGCATGTAATTTAATAGGGAGTATATCCCTTTAAGATTGTATGTCCTAGAAGGGGGAGTAATACCTAGAAGGGGGAGTAATACCTAGAAGGGGAAGTAATACCTTTTATCTTCTAAACGAGCAATCGGTGAGCACACACAGAAATATCATCCCACAAATCTCCTAAGGGAGCAATACGGGAGTACTCCCATAATAACCTCCCAGAAACCTCGCAAATCACATGCCACCCGAGGGAGCAATAAGGGAGTGCTCCCATAAGAGGCATCCCGCAAGCCTCCTGCACGAGTATTATTTATGAGAGCAATGAAAAGCTCCAAACCGAACATTTTACAATACCTAAACAGATTTTGCTATTAATTTACTTTTTTAATTTAACTTTTTAATCACTTGCATGTGTACAATATTATTACAAGATCTCGACAGATATAAGAACGAGATCAGATAAAACATAAATGATACTTCATACCTTATTGCTTAATATTACAATTATAGATATTGCCGAGAACTTATATGAAAGTAAAAAAAAAAACAATAGGGCTGTTCAGGATCTTGTGCATGTGCTCTTGCGTTCGCAAATTTGTTGGATTTGTAAATTTACAACAATAAAATGCACACGGTTGCCATGGCAGTAAGCAAAAAAATTGCAAATGAAATTCCAAGACCATTTCTACAACATCCTGAACAGGCCTAATAATAAAACGGTAATAGGCACCATAGACGGTGTGTCTGACTCGCGAGTCTGCTGTGTACGTGTTGACTCGCGTTTCAACTACACACAGTTGAGTCATTCAGCGTCATTCAGCGTCATTCAGAGTCATGTCGGCGTAACTAACACATATTTATTCTCACTAACACATCCAAACCGACTCGCGAGTCAGACGCACCCAGCAAAAACTTTAAAGGCCGGGTACTCAATGTCTGGTTAATTCTAACTAGAGGTTAAACATCGTTATCGACGTTACCGACTCCCTGTTGTATGCATGGAGTCAAAGACGTCGATAACGATGTCTAACCACATATTAGTGTTAACCAGACATTGAGTAACCGGCCCTTAACTTTTTAACCGACTTCCAAAAAAGGAGGAGGTTATCACTTCGTCGAAATATATATATATTTTTATGTATGTTACCGCATAATTTTGCACCACGTCAACCTGCATCGGAGAGGTAGTGTCTCAGAGGTCATCCCATACTAATCTGGTTAAGATCCGATCATTGGATCATGAAAAATAAATAAATATATATATATATATATTTATATGAGAATTGAAGTCGGCTTTTTTTGCTAAAAATTACTTGCTTTAGGAAGTACTTATTTTTATATCAATGGAGTAAGGCAATACAAGTCGCCTCAAGACAGTTTTCGCTTATCCACTGCATTACATGTAATGTAAAGGCAAGAAATTTTACATTTATTCGATTACCTCTAATGACACGCACATGTTAAAATAATGCATTCTCTAAACGAAAAGGTAAGCGGTTACTCTCGAAAAGCGGTTTCCCAATTTGGGGTAACCACTCACATATTCGTTTACAGAATGCATTATTGTAACATATTTTAAATATATGAACCTAAATACACATATACGTATGACCTCGTACATGACTTCCTGGGTGTCAGGGATGCTTGCCTCTTCAGGAGTCCACGCGAGCGGGGGAAATGGAATAAGATTTTCTAGTTTTTACCACGATCAATGTGAAGGTGACTTTGCCCATCTGACACTACCCAGTAAAAGCTCTGGACGGGCATGATGTGAAATGTTTAAGCCTGTGGTCATACATAAATGTTCACACACATGAAAAGTATTTAACGGTATATACACTGAAGTGCAAAACTGGAACAATAGAACGGAAAGTTAAATTTGTGGTAATGTACTTCTTCAGTTGATTTACATTTGGTAATTCAAATTTGCATTTCGCCTTACCGATGTTTAACTAAACATTTGACAATAAAAATTTTAAGATTCTCATATGGAAACTCAGAAAAAAATGATCAAATAAAAATGAATTGGATTGTTCCAGTTTTGCAACCTCTTAGTAATTGCTGAATTTTATAATTCAAAGAGGAGTTTTAGCTCATTTCCTGCAATTTTTTAATCAAGGCGCGTGGGATTTTCGCTGTGAGTACTTTAAGTGCACATACCAACCAAAAAAATTAAACGGTCAGAAAGTCCTCGCTATAAAAAAAATAAATCATACCACCCAAATGTCCTTTTTATGGTTTTCTAAACAAGCGATAAAAGGGCGGACGTCAGTCTGCAAGGTCAAGAGACAACAAAAAATTGCAATTTGCCGGCTAGGCATATTGGAGGGTCCAAATCAAAAATTACTGCTTTTTCACCACAAAGAGACTGGACATTAAGGAAGACATGGGAACAAGTTGTAGCAGCACCAACATAAAGAGCAGAAAGCCTGATTTGGCAACCAGAAAAATTTTTAGTCAGAAATTACAAGTTCCCATAAACGGCCACACTATCCCACTAATATTTAGGCTGCGTTTCTTTATACATTCCGGATAATACCATTTCACAGCCGGAATAAATAGAATACGTTTGAAATATACGTTAGTATATCATCAGGAACGTTCTAAAGAATAAGTAAATCGGAGGATAAAATTAAACGTTTTCAGTCGGAATATTGGTTCAGGTGCTCTGCACCTGCATCAGGGATTCTGTCTAACGCCCCAAAATATTTAAACTATTAGGTTTGCATATATATATTTCATGATGTAGCTCCGTATTACGCGTTAGGGAGTAAGAACTGGTAAAATCGATGGTAAAAAGAAAAGTGACTATAAATGAACAAAAAAACTGGGGCGAAATATGTATAAATTCCAAGCTTTTATAATCAACAGAAAACTTATGTTTGAAAATTCCACTGTTCAATTGCGAAAACTCACCCAATCCCATGCAAGATCTTGGGCATGGCGTTGAGGAAAACCGGGGCGCAATCTCAACAGATTTCGTCTAAAACCTGTCCGAAAGTATCCCAAGATGCCCATAAAAGCAAAAAAATATTCAAATAGGTTATTGCCAATTTATGAAATGTCAAGCAAATGGTAAAATGTTCCTATCGGGTGCAAAACTGGAACAATCTAGTTGCTACGTTTTTTTGCAATTTTCTTCTTTATCAGCTTATATTAATTATTGCTGTTATGGCGTTCTGATTAAATAAATATTGGAAATGTGAAATCCGAAACTGGATTACAAAGAAGTATGTATTCATATATTGCGAATATATCGCGAGAAAATTCACATTATGTATTACTGTTCCGATTTTGCTCCTCAGTGTAAGTAATACAATAATTAATAAATTTAAACAAAAGTTGCAGTACATACCGACGAACTTTTATTAAAATGTGTGTGCTATCTAAATTAAATTAGCGCGTTATTTTCTGTTGTTTTTTTATGATAACTTTTTCCAAAAACACAATATATCTGTTGAACGATGTGCGTATTGCTCCCCTATCAATCAAGGAGACATCACTTTCTGGTCCCAATCATGCCTCAGGGAACATTCTTTAGTTTCTCGCTTAGGAGATCTCCCATGTGGCACCTAAGCTATCGGTAAAGGAGTACAAACCCGACAAATCTCTCTTATTGCTCCGAAATCAGATCAAGGAGAGTACTCTTTTATTCCTCGCATTGGGAGATTGCCCTTCAAGTTCTAGAGGGTTCTTCATCGAAGCACATACGTACGTATATAGTTACCGTAGTGTGTGTACAATACATAAATAAAGCCAAAACGCTTAAATTTTTAATGACCAGCGAACGTTGGCCGGCAGCTCACTGTCCGGAGATAACTACATATTTCAATTACCAAATTGGCGCAGTAGTAAAAAGTTAAAAATAAAAAAAAAACATCGCAAAACAATTTAATAAATGTCAAGTAAAATGGCGACTTCCAAATTTTACTCTGTCTATTTGAATAAAGCTACAGTATTAGCGTTGGCTATATGCTTTATAATGCTACCGACGGCGGAAAGTGTTGGCGAAAATGTAGTTTTGGACTTTTTTGAACAATTACGTGTACGCATGTGCCATCCGATACCGCAGTTGGGATTACCTGCTTTGGATCCTCTTCAAATCACGCATGTCGAGGAGGAAATCAATAATAAATATTTGATAGAGTAAACTAAAATTTGAATTTAAAAACAGTTTCATCTATCAAAACTAATTTCAAATTTCTAACTCGAACAGTTTCACAGGCTCTGTAACGGATTTTAAGATTACTGGCCTCTCGGATTTTAT